GAAAATAATTTGAAAAGATTTGTCAATAATCGATTATCACTTGGGATGATGATGATAAATGACAATTTTGAAAAGACTCTTTATCTTTTGACCTAATTTTGAACTAAGTCTATACATACCTTATTTTTGAACACTTTAAATGTTACTTAGTATGTCTGAGAACTCAAGTTTTATTTTTAACTTAAGAACTCTCTTTTCATTAAGTGTGAGCTTGTGGACCTTGTGTGAGTACAAGGAAGTGTTTCATTAGTGTGTCTAAATGAGAACATATATGTCGTTGCAAGCTTAAGTTGCTCATCTTTTTATCTGTCAAAAGAAAGTGTTAATCATTTCTTGTGTGTTCAAAAGAGGTGAACTTTAAACCTTTACCTTACTATTTTATCGTAAGTTTTGGTTATTTTATAATTATTGGTTAGTCACTTTTTTAGAATTATTGGTTAGTCACTTTTTTAGAGAGATTAACAGTTAAGATTTATCTAAATTAGTATAAAATCACTTATGTAAGCTTTTCTTTCCCTACACTCTTTTATTTACTTGTTATCTGAAATACTTCTTTGTATTGTTAATTATTTCCTAAAAAAGAAAGATTTATAAGAGCCATTGTTTTTATCAAGAAAGTCAATTCACTCCCTCTTGATTATTGTCTGCCCACAAACATTTCCTACTTATTTCCAAGAATAGATAAGATGCCTAAACAACTCAATATGTCAAAGATGGGCAAGGAAATCTCAGATAGTCGGAGATTGGTAAGGAAAGCTCATATTGCACAAAGAATGACATACAAACTTCAAATAGTTCAGGAAAGTGTCTAGACAGCTCACATAACTCAAAATAACGTATAGAGAGCTTAATAGAGCATGTATAAAGCTTGGTAGAGTATGTTGTTGCCAAAGTACCTTAGTGCATCAAGTGAAAGACTTAGATATCTCGGTGGTGAGAGGGCTAAGCTAGAGATAGAGATTAGTGGTGGAAGGGTCAAGTTGGAGATGGAGATTCATGACAAGCTGGAGTCGAAAAATTCGTGGTGAAAGGATAGAGCTGGAGTTGGAGATTTGTAATGGAAATGCTAAGTTGGAGTTGAAGATTCGTGGTGGAAGGGCCCAGCTAGAGTTGCATATGCATGGTGAAAGTATTGAGCTAGATATGGAGATCCCGATGGAAAGGTTGAGCTGAAGTTGTAGATCTATGGTGAAAGGCCAAGCTGAAACTAAAATTCATGGTGGAAGAGTGAGCTGTATTGATCTCATGGTAAATCATGCGCTCTCACACTTTATTACCATCTCTTTTTTGTAACATTTATCCTCTTACCTCATTATGTAATTGAAACTCATACATGTCACTTTTTGTGTCATTTGAATGTAAATCCACCGTTATAAAAAAGAAACATTTATGTTATTAAAAATTGAAATCTTAATATGTAAGCATCGTTAGACTAAGTGTTCATATATGATATCGAGAGTTGTTGATTTATTCATGTTTTCAAGTTTGCTCTCAAATAACGAACCTTCCTGCCTTCGCTGCTTCTTATCAACTACTACAAGCTTGTATTGAAGTCAATACCGATAACCCAAAAAATAATAGAAATAAATGAGAACAGGAAGTCTTCACAGTAAGAATTTACCCACGCGTAGTCTCTCAGGTTCACGTTAGTTAACAATGAGGTTCAGCAGTATCCTCACTCCCATAAAATTCTTCTTCCTTTACAGTTTCTTTATTCACATCTACCTCCAAGCGTGACTCCTGTGAACAATTTCACAATCAGTTGCGGCACCACTGGAACACCTTACAACGGTGAAAGAACATGGGCAGGAGGGTATTCTTCTCCTTCTCGCTTCCTTGTTTCGTCTTTGTTGTGAGGGCAAGATCCAAGTCCAATCCATGGCCACTAAAGCTGCCAACCAACACGTTCATCCGACGCTTCTCCATCATCACGATCAAAGCCGCCACCAACAACTTCGACGACGCTTCCCTCGTCGGCTTCGGGGGATTCGGCCACGTGTACAGGGGCTTAATCCGCGGAATTTTCATCCCAGTGGCTCATAAGCACTTAATACAGGGTTCGAATGGCGCTGAAAAGTTCTCGAAGGTGGCTATCAAGCGCCACAAACCGGGTTCAAAGCAGGGCGTTGAAGAATTTCTGAACGAGATCAAAATGCTCTCGCAGCTCCGCCATCGCAATCTCGTTCGACTCATCGGTTACTGCAAAACCGAGAAGGAGATGATCTTGGTCTATAAATTCATGGCACGTGGCAACCTCCGTGACCATCTCTACAACAGCGACAAACCTTCCTTGCCATGGAAGCGACGCTTGCAGATCTGTATCGACGTTGCGCACGCGCTGCATTATCTTCACTGCTGCGCCAATAAATTCTCGATAATCCACAGCGATGTGAAAACCACGAACATCTTGTTGGACGAGGAGTGGGTGGCCAAGGTATCGGACTTTGGACTTTCCAAAATTGGGCCCATGGGAGAGTCGAAGGTCAATGTCTGCCCCACCGCTGTGAAGGGTAGCTTTGGATATATAGATCCAGAATATCATAGAACGACAACATTTGACGGAAAAGTCTGACGTGTACTCTTTCGGGGTAGTGTTATTCGAGGTACTGTGCGCTCGCCCGCCTCTCATTCGCACGACGGATCCGAGACAAGAATCACTCGGTAATTGGGTTAGGTACTGTTACGAAAATGGAACCATGGCAGAGATAATGGACCCCACGTTGAGTGGAAAGATTGCGCCTAATTGCTTTAGAATGTTTTGCGATACTGGGGTGAGTTGTTTATCAGAAATTGGGACGCAGAGACCGTCTATGAACGACGTCGTTCAGATGCTAGGGTATGCCCTACTACTACAAGAAAAGGCAGAAATTAGTGCGGCACATTCTAGTGACAAAATTTCATTTTTCTAGTTAGGCGAATTGAATTATTGAAGGGTTGAATAAGCATTATTGAATTGAATTACTTCTTTATTTCTAAGATCATTTGTTTATGAGTCGTTTCAAACGACTTGTTTAGGAGTGTAAATGAACATCTTTTTTATATCGCCCATCATGTGAATACAAACGGTTAGAGTATCATCTTTTACATTTTTACATGTTTAAGTTCAGTGGATTATCTTATTTTTCTATGGAAAAGAAATATAAAATATATTAAAATGTAATAGGATTTGAAATCTGTAACAAGTTTAAGTATGTTTTCTTATAACTACTAGTTATTCTTAAAACATTAAAATTATTTATTTTTCTTTAATACACTTTCAAGTGTAAAAGACTAAATTGTATAAATAATTTAAAATGGATGGAATAAATAAAATATTTAGTTATAGGAAAAAACTTTTATTTTCAATTCTATAAACTTTAGAGTTTATCAATTAAAATATCATTTCACAATTTTTTTTATTTGTTCACCAAATTTTTTAAATTATAAATCGAGCTTTAGAAAGTCTTTTTTAATGATTTATAAAGTCTTTATTTTGTTTCATGATCATTTAATTTTGGTTCTTATAACATGAGTTATATTTAATTAAGTGTAAAATTCATTAAGGTTAATAAGAATCTTTGTCTTTATCTATTGTAAACAGAGAAGATCAAATTGTTTTGATATTTAGTTTTGAGATAATATTAATGTCACTTTTAAGAAAAGTGAAAAGGTAAATGATAAGTCATGGAATTCATAATAAATTATTCTAATAAGATTAAATTTAAGTTTTTATAACTCAAAACTCTATAAAGTTTTATAAAGAGAACATAATTTTCTTTCTAAATTTAGATATTTTCCTTGTTGAGTTTTTTAAATTTGTTGATAATTTTTTTAGTTAAATTCATTATTATTA